AATCGAGTAAATTAAAAAAGTGCAAAACTTTCGCTTTGCTGATGTGAAAATGAAAATTAAAAGGCAAAAGTTTTGCGTGAAATAGCGAAAAAGCAACAACAGTTAATCGCTAAAAAAGCTGCTGAAAACAATTTGCCCGATTGCTGTGGGAGTTCGTTGCAGCGGTGGTACATTCCTATGTACATAGGTCCGGCAGTGAAACTTTATACGCAGCAATGAGACCTTAGCAAGGATTTTGTTTCACATTTTTCTTCTGGCCATGCCACTTACACTCTTCAGCTGTCACTTTGTTGCCTCTAATGGCAGCCGAACTAAACCACTTGTTAAGCGGAAAAGTGTCAGCACGCGGTCAACTTCATTTGGTTACTTTTTGCATTAGAATGCCCAGTTTTGTTCCCACACCATTGCCATATTGTTGCTACGACACGAAACAATTTGTATTAAATTGGCAAATTAATTTACTTAGTTAAAATTTTAGTTTCGATAACTACACATTTTTTCGATGTTTCGATGGTGCATGGTTTCAGTTAGAATTATGCGACTATCCTTGATGCATGTGAAACCAAATCTAATCCTCCCGACGGAAGATAATGACCAGCGCTCCTGGCTCTGTCACAATGTCAAAACGGGTCTAAACGATTTCATTGCCAGGGTGGCCAAGAAAGGATATTTGTCTCATCGACTTTGCAAGGGCCCGAAACCCGATAGTCTGCCCCCATGAGACTCCGGCGTAAAAGGACACATCTGGCGTATCAAAAAACAAGATACTGTGTTGCGTTAGGCGGAAAGTAATCCTCTCAGCTATTTAGACGTACGTAGATTCCAAGGACCAACCAGCGACTAGTCATTACCTTCTTGCAGCCAAGATGCAAATAGCCGCAACCCCAACAGACAGCGAGCATCTTCTGCAACGAAATAAGATGCCGCCTGCAGGATTGGCAAATGGCGCTCAAGAGGAGAGCGACACGTATTTTCGGCAATAAAAACGACCAAAAATTTGACCAGAAAGTTAGGCGACTTACGGAAAAAACAACGGCGATGACCTAGTGACCGATGTGGAAACACTTTACCCTGTCTAGTGTTAACAGAACTGAAACCGGTGGATAGCATGTACCCGTACCCACTTCGAAGACGACATAATCACTGTCCCACCATAAATGGAGCTACAAAAAGCTATCTCGCTCCCAGCTGAACTACTAAGTAACGGCGGCGGGGATTTGATAGGGTGCATACATCAACTCTTAAAGTCTTTCCCTCTTGATGTAATGTGGAACGATTTTCCGTCATCCCTTGTCAAATTTGGTTTGGAGACAAACCGGTTTCGGCGTTGTGCCATCTTCAGTGTCATTTTGTCTTCAAACCAAATTTGACAAGGGATGACGGAAAATCGTTCCACATTACATCACACTCCTACCCTGTCGGAAACACCAACAACGAAAATGAGAATCTTTCCCTCTTCTTCAAACAGCCTCAAATTTCAAATTTCTCTATTTCGTTTCAAAACTTATTCTACTCACACTCACCTCTGCCGCTGCGTCCCACGAACCTTAGATCATTGAATTTCGCCACTTGATTCTTCATAACAGCCGTACAATTCCGCAATTCAGCGCAGTAGTTCTCGTCATTGCCAGCGCGTACCGTCACCATAGTGCCATCCATAATATCACCCAACGACACGACCTTGAAGGCGACTGGCAGAGTCTTATTCGAACGCCAATGTGGCGGCAGTACGGTGCAAACGAAGAGCGGACTACTGGTACGTATCAGCTCACCAGGATGTTCTGTCAGAAAATCGCCTAATGTCCGTTCCGCCAATATGTCGGAGGTCATTTTTGTGTAGGCTTCATTCAGCAATTGAGCTGCTGTTGGCGGTGTATTTTGTTCATTAGAATTGTTGTTGCCATTCGTTGCGCTATTATTACTGCCGCCATTATTATTTGAACTGGAATTATTTGTATTGTTGTTGGTATTTTGAGTCGCGCCCGCATTGTTGGCAGCGACGCTGTTGGTCGTTGTGGTGAGATGCATTTTGTAGTGGTTGTAGCCGTGGGCGACTTGTTTAAGGCGGACAATGTTTGCGAATTTTTCTTTGCACTACGGTAGCAATGAAAATATGAAGTATAAAAGTATGTGGCGGGGTTTTCCAAGTTAAATTTTTCACACAGTGTTTACCAGACTACTGGTGCTAGTATCTGAAAAAGAGTAGCGGAAATTATTTTTAATATGATGGCACTGGAATGTGGAAGTTATAAAGGTAGATAACAAAAATAGTAAACTACTAGCTGGCTTATTTTTCAAAAGGATATTTAAGACAAAGATTTGCCTTCACAAACGAATTCTACTTCGAGTGTCTTCCCGTTCCCCAAAGGCAGTATAAATAAGGTTTTTTGGTCTGGAGGTCTCACAAGTAATGGCCAGCACTCCATACACTCCATTCTCAAGCTCTTCCCTTCTTCCTAATATGTATGTATGTATATAGCAGTCCTAGTTCGGTTGCTTCAATACTTTTAAATCCTTCAACCAGGAGTCCTTTTTCTAGCTAGGCTCTTAATGAATATTTGGGTGGAGGAACATATTCAAATTTTCTTAGGTTGAGGTTTCACAATGTCTAATATCAGGGACGTGAACCGGATGAAAAATTTGGTCGGTTCGGTTCAACGGTTCGAAAAACAAAAAAATTAGGCGCAAATTTAAGTGTCAAGTGTCAAGTGCAAGAACGCGCAAGGTTAAGGGTCAAGTGGGATGGGCTGCCTTTACATTTGATATTGTCACATGGTAAAAAACATCGTAAGTATTACCATGTTTAACAAAATGAAGAAAAAGTGGGTACTTTTATCTATTGAAAATTAGTTGCAACGAACCTTCAAACCTTTACAGAAAGTGGTTCGGTTCGGATCAAACATTTGTGGAAAATTTTGGTTCGGTTAATGGTTCAGTTAATTAATAGAAAAAAGCGGTTTTCCGGTTCAAAATCGGTTCGGCTCAAAACCGGTTCACGTCCCTGTCTAATATTATTTGATGTTTTTGTCCATGTGTAAATTTGAGTTGTTTTCGTTGAAGTACGAAACGTGTGCACCTGAATTGCTGTTAAATGCTTGTTTGACCTTCTCCTTTAATTTTAAGAAAAGAACCCGAAGAAGGACTCAGTTACCCAACTATGCCTCATATTTAGTCTTTCTTCTCTTATTCCTCTACATCTGTATTCATGCAACATCAATCGGATTCCACTTTAGTCAGATAAATGAATTTCGAAATTTCGACCAAAGTTAATATCGTTGACCTTATAATACAAGTCTACCTCGACTTTGTCTGAAATTAAGGAATCACCGTCATATATGCAGCAAGCTATAGGATATTTTAAACTGAGCTGAACTGTCCAGGAATGGAATGTATTGCAATTTTATTGGCCTAGAAAAATACGAAACGATTTTACAAGCTTTTAGGCAGAAAAAGAGAATGTAACTCATCCGTTCTCAACACTTCTTCTTTTTTGGCGATGTAAATGCCTACAATATATTCTACAATCTCAGTCTGGCGAAGGCCGGGCAGCTGCAGAAAATATGCAGATGTCAGTGCTGCATCGACGGGTCTAAAAAGATCCTTTATGATCCTTTATGTGCGTTTATGATTGTGCCCATTACTTTTGGATCAAAATTTAGCTCCTGTCGAATTAGACACTCCCTAGAGCCGTAGTTCGCTAATTTAACAGTCAATTCGTCGATAAGAACACCACAGCCGCGGTACCAATTTCCACCCAAGCTTGTGCCATTTGGCATTGGAGTTTGTAGCCGTTTTCAAGGCTTTTAGAGCTGCTGGCTGTTTACGTCGTCGCAATTTTTATATCCAGTGTGCTGCTTTAAGTATAGCAATGGCTTACTATAAAAATACAGTCACCATTATACCAAAAGTAGCATACCATATGAAATATGTTATGAAGTGTATATGGAGACATTCCTGGAAGCCCAACGAAGAGGAAAGTGTCAAGAAGGCTACAGTCGCCAATTGGAAAGTGCTAGAGTCTCTCGCCGAAACTAGTTCATTGGCTTTATGAAACTATAATTAAGCCAATGGTATTATATAGGGTAAGCAGCTGGAAGGAGTGCAAGGAGCTGCCTTGATTGGGATCAGTGGGGCACTTCGAACCAATCCTACTCTGGCGCTTATTGCTATGTCAAATGTTAAATGATATGTTCATAGATTTAGGAAGCAGGGCTGGCGATTTGCGAAGCTTCGAGTTCCACCGACTCGAACAGAACACCGCATGCCGCTTGTGGGTGCGAAGGGATCTTTCACCACCCACATTCCAGCGAGAGAGGACTGAGAGGGGTTTAGCATATGGAATCGGGGCCCTGTCAACATATATTTGGACGAAGCGAACCTTGACGGTAAGGTAGAAAGAACTATCTTTTGCGAAGAACTCTCCATCAAACTGAAATTCAATCACCGGATCGCTGCACCGCAGGAGGCTTCAGATTGGTTGTTCTCTAGTGTAGCACCTTTTAAAGAGCCGAATATCTATTCCGACAGCCAAGCAGGTATTAAGGATTTTGGCTCTTCGATGGTTCGTTCGAAAATGGTGAGGAATTGTTTGACTTCCTTATCTACCGTATCGGAAATAACTACGGTTAGAGAAAGTCTTGGAAAGATCGGCGTTTAGTCAGCTCAGCGTGCGCTGGGCAAATACCTTAGAATGCAAGGTGCCAAAATCCTTGTGGCCACGTGTAGACCGGAATCGGTCCAGGGAGCTCTTGCGACTAAGCAACTTCCACCACTTGCTATTGCTGGGCGTTCTATCTGGTCATTGCGTTATAAATAGACATGCAGTAAGGCTGAATAACATCGATGAGCCTTACTGCACGAGCTGCTTGAATATCAGTCGCTTGGGGAGCTTCGTGGTGAGCACGTAGCATTTTTCATCTAAGAAGCCTTAGCTGCCTTCATCCTTTTCATTCCCCCCCTGTTTCTGCCCTTCTCCTCATCCTTCCACATTTTCTGAGACTCCTGGTATCGATTTTTCATTTGGACCCAAAAACCAAGGTTATCGCTCTAAAACCCTGCTAAAGAACTGTCTGTGTGCCTGACAGGGCGATCGTCGTGCCACAATTTAAAGAAAACTCTGTTGACTTTACATCCTCGTTACGTCCTCTTCAATCGTCACGTCAAGAAGCGCATTCAGTGCTTTACTAAATACAGTCGAATGAAGAGTTGATTAGACGTGAGTGAGAATAATTTTTTACTCGTTCACAAATAGAAGGACCAGCTGCAGAAGAACCTGCCTATACTTGGTGTTAAGAATTAAAGAAACGCGTCGAAAACGAGAATGGCTCTTAAACCTTCTACATTCATACGAACATTCAATAGTGTTTACTTCAATAGTGTTACAACATAATAGCGGTAATTTTTGCCTACTTAGCTCAATGTTTGTATTTTTTTAAACTATGATATTATTGAAGTAAACGAGCGATATGTACCTATAATTGTAAAATATATTTAAGTATTGATATTTAGTTGAAACAAAAAATGCCAGAATTCTGAAAACCATCTAGTAAGAGTAGCTTTTCATGTGTCCATGTGTGTGTGAGGTAATCACGGTCTTGTTAAATATTCAAAATGAAGCCATTCTTATGCAAAAAAAATGCTATACTCCCTCTTCCAGCAAAGTATTGACAATGGGAAAAAAACACAGAGAAATGTATGCATGTAGGTGCACGCCAGTATATAAATGCCGGAACATTCGCATATTACTCCAATTATTTGTGTAGCCGCGGCCAAAGAACCACAACCATTGTTCGCACATTTTTTTCTTTCCCGCTCGCTACTTTTTCCAGACCTTTTCTCGAACAAGGACATGTATGTAAATACACGTATACCACTTAAAATCGTATAAGAATGGATGTATGTATGTGTGAATATGTGTATGTTTGTAGTCTGGTATGCGGTTGCTGAGCCACCAAACTGGCCATGTTAAATGCTTTTATGGATGGAATCACAACATGACGATGGCCTTGTTTAACATGACGATTTTCATGCACGCACCCAGCTCCCATTTGTGAGAGTACATTTTCCTCAGGAAGCTGCTCGCTCATATGCCTGCCATTCGCTGCTAGATGAATACAGCGTAGGGCAGAGTGAATCAAGGGAAATATACGAGAATATAAAAAATAAAAGAGTGCACATGAAAGTGGCACAAAGCGTTGGACACAAATTTTAAACGCGCAGACAACGTTGTATGTACATAGACTGGCTTCGCTCAGAGGCCACGGCGGAAAGGTGAGCGCTGTGCGGCAACCGATAAAATTACTTAAAAATGCCGCAGCTGTTGGTTGACTTCTGGCCAAAAACGTAAGGGTTTTTGGCGGGTGATGGCATGGCATGAAGCAGCAGGCGACGATGTTGGCAGTCCAGCACAGTTCAGACTGTCATCGGCGGACTCGCGTTTTGTTGCGCTTTTTCTCGCTGACAGTTTTTTTTCGCCCTTTCTGCTTGCCACTGCTACTGCCATTTTTTTTCTCGTTGCACAGTGTTAACACAGTCTGCTTTTGTTCTTCATGTTCGTCTTGTTCCCGCCACTGTTTACTACCGGAGTTTTCACATAAATGGCTTTACTGAACAGCAGTTCAAAAAAAAACCGCCATAGTCATGCGCTTTCTCACATACACATTCACATTTACACTCACACTCGCCGAAACAATTTTGCATACACATATGAGTTCGTGCAACATGCCACAAGATATTAAACACCATACTTTTCGTGTGTCCACTCTTTTCACTGTCCGTGCGATGTTGTCCGCCGCTATGATTTTCCGCGCATCACAGGGTGTTGGTAATGTTTTATTGTTCGACAACTCCGACGGCGAAGCATTTAATGGTCTGGCCACATGGCAGCAGTGGTGTCAGTAACACCAACTGATATCCGTTCGGATTAGCGCGCCCATTTTTTCTGTCCGCGGTTTGTCACCTTGCTGCTGGCAGCGATTAGTGCGGCAGACGGTAGCCATTTCGTTGCTTTTTGTTTTTGCTTCTTTGTAAATCAAAATTCATGGTTTCCTGACTTCCTTCCATGTCTGCGGTCGATGTATGAATCGATTTGGTGGCTTTCAGACTACATCGCAATTTGCGTTATCGTTCGGACGCTTTTCTTTACAAAAATAATTTTTGGGAGCCAACGATGTATTTTCATTTTAAT